TAGCGGTAAAATTACTCTTCCATGCAGACACCTCGCAAGGAAACATCCCAAACATGTTTAAGTGATACAAGGAAAAAATGTAAAGTGAGGATGTACAAATGTACTAAGAAAAGACATACCATGATAATGGTCGTGCTACACATAATTAAAGACAAGACATTAACTGTGATTTATTAACACAAACGCAACGAAGGAGAGGTGACTGCTGCGAACGGGAGAGTTGGTGATGTCTGCTAACCGAAAAGCTGTAAATGATGTCTACATTTGGCAACCACCCTAATCCCCTACTCTGTAGATAGGCTATTAATAACAGAAGCTATACTTGCTGTAGATAGTATGAAAAAGTTTGTTGCTAAGCTGTCTAGCCTACCCGTATGAGCACACGATACCACCTTCATTTCTCTGCAAATTAGATGATTTAAGGCAGATACGGCTAAGCAGTTCTGAAGTGCGAATAACTCGGTATTGAGGAATGAAGGCCCAATATTTCAATTACGAGGATATGTTAAATGCCGTAGTCCGTCTCATGATGTCACTTTTGAGCCATTATTCTCACGACTGCCAGTGGACATGCGTAATGGCCAGCACAGTGCCCCTACTCTAAATGCATTTCCCATACAGAAGGAAACTCCAGGTACAGCAGAAGTGTCTTAAGGGACCAGTGGCGTTGTGGTCAAGTATCTTATCAATTGCGCTAAAACTAGATGGCTGGCGCAGTCGACTTGTGGGTATTATGCTTACATCACGGGCGGTTGACCATGGGGATAGCTCCAGCCCAAGTTGACACAGAGAAGTGAAGGCGTGTCTGGAGAGCGTATGGGTGCCTGCAACTCATGATTTACGTGCCAGTGAATTTGCTGATATTTTTGTAGTAGGCCCATATGCTTTCAAGACCAAGTTTATTCGTTTGTTGAGATTATGGTGCTTGGCAATGTGGTCATATTTCCAAAAAGTGGCTAAAATATGCCGCACTAAAACAACTTGCAATCTGTCTACCTGGTGACTTTAAACTAGCTTAGGACGAATCCGCGGCATTGGCCGATGTATGAGAGGCCGAAATTGCTGGTCTGGTTGCTAAATTTGCCTTTAGATTTATTTATATGAGCAACATCCTTGCCCTTTCTGAATTTGGCCCTCTTTTCGATTAAAGTGGCACTGCTGTGAAACGTTTTTGACGCTCCTTATCCTAACTAAATATTGTTAAGTTTATTCGGGTTTCTGATCATTTATTAAGCCTACTTTAGTCGGTTTACCTCAATCGGTGTGTCTGTGGAATAGATTTTTCTGACAAAGTGGCAATTGCTACTTTGAGGGTCACCTTTAAAAATTTTTTATGGAATTCACAAGAACCCACGCTCTGTTTGCTAGATCAGTCTTGTATTTGACCTTATTACATTGGGTAGTTTATTAAGCAAACTCAAATAGGCCGTCTTAAATTTGTACGAGGTGACTTCCACTCTGTGATACCAGTTTTTTCTAGATACACAACTGTTAGACTGGACCTAGAGCTCTTTTGTCTAATTTGGAAGTTTAATATTTTAAATTGGTTTAGACCGCTTTAACAAGTCGCCCGCTTTGTCGTTAGCGAATACGTTCCAACGGGCGTTGATTCTTTACTTGAGGCTACTTTGCATCATCTCATGATATTTGTCTTTAGCATTTTATGCTTGGATGACGAAGTTCAAATGAGAATGGGGAGTTAGTCTAAAGACATTAGGAAATTGCTGTCACATGATTTATGGAAGAGCCTTTAATGAATTATTATAACTGTAGCATGTCATTACCGCCTGTGGATGAATGGAAGATTACTTTCATGACTTTCACAACCTTTAAAAAATTAATGTTTAATTTAATTAATAATGTTTAAATAATGTTTAACGATTTGATTCTCGTTAACTGAAGTGAATGTAGCCAAAAATTACCACAATCTTTATGTATACGTGTGATGTAGTACAAAGTAAATAGGGCATTTCGTTTGCAGCTCAATCAAATCATCATTTTAAGAGTTTACGTTGAAGCAAACACTTTTAGAAAAGATAGAAAGATATTGATGCTGCCGTTGCAAGAGATTCTAGACTGGACCATGATAGAATGATGATGCCGTTAAGTAGGCGGTAATACCTGTTCTTTCCATGTTGGCAACACCAGGACATTGTTCTTGTTTAAATATATTTTGGTAAAAAACTGCATTTTGGTGAGTGGATTATTGGCAATTCCCTTTCCGAGTTAGTACATAGAAAGTTGAGATTGTGATGCTATCACTTTATATACTCCCCTTCCTTAATCATTGCCGCTACAGGTCGAGGGACGCACTTATCGGGAGTGTCAAGTCCAAGCATCCCCGACCAAGCCACCACTGAAAGGAAGGCTAAATAGGTGGCTGAGATTTGGGTGGCCAATGCCTCCCGCGTGCGCCTCGTTGCTGACTCATCCGCACTGGGCGAACAATACAAACATCTGCTGAGCAGTCGTTGTGTCCAAGTTGTCTTTCTAAGCAGGCGATCGATAAACCAATTAATCGATACAACCCACAGCACAGCGTTTCCATCGCGAGTTTTCGATAAGATTGAAAATAAAATTTGGCCACAATTTGTGCACAATTGTAATATTTACTTATTACCGGTCAAAAGTG